GCTAACTAGGAGAAAAACTGAAACTATTTTCTCTAAAGTCAGGAACAAGACAAGAGTGTATATTCTCCTGATCCTTATTTAAACAGTAATAAAATTCCTAGTCAGAGCAATAAAGCAAGAGAAAGAAATAAAATGGATTCAAATATGGAAGGAAGAAGTCAAATTATCCATATTCATAGATGAGGTGGTTCTGTACCTAACAAACCCCAAAGCTTTCACCTAGATCCAATAAATACTTTTGGCAATGTAGCAGAACATAAAATTAACACATCAAAATCAGTAGCTTTTTTACATATCAGTAATGAACAGGCTGAGAAAGCAATCAGGAAAACAATTCCATTCATAGTGGCTTCTAAAAAATAAAATATCTAGGTATAAACTTAACCAAAGAGGTAAAAGACCTCTATAATGAAAACTATAAAACTTTGAAGAAAGAAATTTTAAAAAGACACCAGAAGAGGGAAAAGCTCCCATGTTTATGAATTGACAGACAAAATTAATATCATGAAAATGGCTATATTACCAAATGCAATCTATAGATTCAATGCAATGCCCATCAAAACCTCAATGTCATTCTTCACAGAAATAGAAAATAAATCCTAGAATAAAAGACCCTGAATATCAAAAGCAATTTTGAGCAAAAAGAACAATGCTTGGAGGTATCACAATATGACTTCAAATTATACTATAGAGCCAAAGTAACAAAAACAGCACAGTACTGGCAGAAGACAGACATGTAGACTGATGAAACAGAATAGAAGACCAAAAATGTTAAAAAAAAAAACTGTGGGAGTGGATTATGAGAAGCTTATGAGAACTTGTCATAAGTGCAGTTGTGTTCAACAACAGGCTGAGTTTGGCATGGCCCCAGCCACAGAACAGAGTGATACAGAATGCAGCTCAGCTGTTTTTCTTAAGTTGTTTACATTCAGAGAAGTAGGAACACAGGTTTCTCTTGTTACAATGTCATGCCCCTCCCAGAGAACTGTTGCTCCACCTCCTTGTTTACTACTGGATATAAAAGACTTGCTGAAGGAGGATGCAAGGCTGTTTGATTGGCTGCCACTGACACTGGCTGGTGTGTCTCCACCAGAGCAGCTTTCTGCACTGAGAACTATATACATAAGCTTTAGAAAAGCTAAGCAAAAGAAAAGCTAAAGAGAACATGGGACAGTGTAAGTCTAAGGACTGAGACTTTAAGAGTTATGCTAATGCAGTTTTTAGATGCAGCTGCTGTTGTTTGTCTGCAAATCTGTGGGCAAAGTCTTTAAGAGAGATTAAAGGGAACATGGAAGAGTGCAAGTCTGAGCACCAAGACTTTAAGAGAGATTAAAGAAAACATGGGACAGAGCAAGTCTAAGGAAAGAGACTTTAAAGAATGCAAAAAAAGCAAGGTTTTAAAAAAAAGACCTTAGAGACAAGGTTTTAAAGAATTGTAAAGGAGTAAGGCCTTAAAAAATGAAGATAGAGAAAAGAAGCAGAGTAAAGAGAAGTAAAGGAGCAATGAGGCTGTTGTGCGTCACCATCTGAGCATCCAATACACCTGATCCTAACTTTCTGCATGTCTGCATGTCCTTTGTCCTTTCTGCATCTCCCATCGCTCCCAGTTAAGGTTCAGTACTAGGAAAACTAGTTATCTAATCCAGAAGACTGAAACTAGACCATTATCTCTCATTTTGTACAAAAATCAACCCTAAATGGATTGAAGACCTTAATGTAAGATCTGAAACATTGAAACTACTACAGGAAAAAATAGGGAAGAATCTGGAAGATATAGGCCTACATTACTTTCTGAATAGAACACCAATTGCCAATGAAATAAGAGCAAGAAGTAACAAGTGGGACTGAATTGAAGTAAAAAGTTTCTACAAGTCAAAAAAAAAACCAGTTACCAGAATCAAGAGACAACCCACAGAATGGGAGAAAGTCAACAGGTAAGGGATTAATATCCAGAATATACAAAGAGCTCAAAAAACTAAACAGCATAAGAGCAAATTATCCATTTAATAAATGAGCAAATGAAATGAACAGATAATTCTCAGAAGAAGAAATACAAATGGCTAATAAATCATGAAGCAATGTTCAAAATCCTTAGTGGTAAAGGAAATACTAATAAAGACTCTACCAAGATTCATCTCACCCCAGACAGATTGGCAATCATCAAAGGAAACAAACAGCAAATGGTAGTTAGGATGCAGGAAAAAGGAACCCTAGACTTAAAATGATGGTGGTGATGATGGTGGTGATGGTGACAATACATGAATACATACAGGGAACTGTCTAGGGAAATCAGCAGAGGTGGAAGAGGGAAAGAAAAGGATATTAAGGGTGAAGAGGATGAAGTAAGCTGGATGCATAATGAAGACGACATAAACTCACCAAACACAGTTTGGAAGTGGGGAGAAAATGGTGAGGGGGAATGGAAATACAATGGAGTATAGTGGAGGGGGTGATCGTGTTCAAGGTATACTATGCTCATGTATGAAATCATCACAATGAAATCCCCTCATATTAATGTACTAGAAATCAAAAATAAAATGAATTTTTAAAGTTATGGTTCTGCCAATGATATACTCATTGCTTCTATGACTGAGCTTGTTATTAATGACAGAAGAGAATATATAATGAAAAAAGACTTTATTCTCCCTTTTAAGCCAACAGGCACAGAGCCAAATGCTAAAAATTTGCTTTTTTTTAAATCTCAATTTATTTGATCATGGTCTATATTTCCCAATAGAAATGTAACTTCATGAGGATTTTTATGTGATTCACTGCTATATTCACAGAGCTTTGATCAGTGCTCAATACATCACAGATGCTCATTAAATATTTGAGTAAGCAGATGAAAAGGATACTTTGTTGGAAATACTCCATTAAGTGCATTGGAGCCGAGTATGTTGTGGCCAAAGGGATTATTGCTTGCTGTGTGTGAATAATTAGTGAATCGTATAATCAATTTAGTGAGCAAGATCAGCATGGAATAGAATGGAAAAGAACAAATAACCTCAAAATTCTTCAAATATTCAAAACCACCTACATAATTTCCATTGATTACAATAGTAAAAGTAAGCATGATTTCCTGAAAATTTTCAGGAAAATATTATTTTGGTCTAAGTACATTTATCATAAGGCTTTTTAAAAATTTTGCCTATGTACTGGAACTGATATAAAATGTACTTAGTGTAGCTGCAGGTCAGAAAAATGAATGCTCTTCTAAGAGAAAGCCTTCGGTTAGAGGTAATGGTCTGACATGCAGAGACCTGGGAAGAAAGTTAAAACGTTGGTGAAAATGGATATCTAGTATAAATGGGTGATGGGAGATAATTTCCTGATTTTGCAGAGATGGAAGTGATTATGAGACAGCAGGAAGTCCTGGCTGTCTTCAATAAGGCATAGTGAGTATGAGAACAAGACAGGGAAGGGAAGGCTGTTGCTTACCACACCAGCTGGTTCCCACTTCACACTGCATCTCACCAATGAGTATGCCTAAGTGGTAAATGAATGCATTGATCCTCCAGAGGCCAAAGGAGTTAAAGAATACAAGCTCAACCAGGGGCCTAATGTCACAGTGTCAAGGTGGCAGTCAGCAGGGCTGTCATTTCCATTTGGTCAGTAGACACAATGGCCCCAGTCTGTGATGCTTTTAGGGGTTCACAAAAATATTTTCATTTCTTTTAAAATAAAAAAATATTATCCACCCTATATTGCATTCAAGTTGGTAAAAATGCCATTGCAAGGTACAGTTTTATTGTTCATGCACTAAGTGGCCTACAAAGTCAGAAGTGCCTAGGGCCAATGAACATCCTGGGGGACCCTGGTGTCAGGGCCATCAGAATCATTTGAGGTGCTTACTGAAGTGCAGATTCGTGGGCACCACTTCAGTGCTGAAGATTCTGCTTCCCTTGGGATGGGCCACAGCTGGCAACTTCAGTAAACGCTTCAGGAAAGTCAAATGCTGAAAAGGTTTAAAGATCTCTGTCTCTGTAGTAAGCCATGAGGACCTATCACAGGCTTAAAATGGGATTGCTTTGAGCAGGGACACTTGCTGGGGTCAGTATTCCTTCCAGACTGACTGAGCCACACTGGATCAGGCTCTTCCTATAATTTCCAACCTCATATCAGTATTCTACATGTCTCTTGAGTATGCCATGTTTAGTTGTGGCTTTTTCTCAGTTGTGGCCACTATTTACTATTAAACTCTCCTGTTTTTGCCCTTTAGAAGGAAGATGTTTTTACCAAGTGACATATGTGAAGTAATTTTACTAAAAAAGGAGGAAAATGACATATTTGACATTTATTTAGACTGAGGATAATTGTAATATTTACTGACTATATCACTTTTCTTCAGTATACACACCCTGCTATTCGGACTTGCTCTGAGTTAACAAACCACTGGAGAACAGAAGCAAATAATAACAAGGCTCTCATTTTCATTCCAGTTTCTTACATCACTATTAATGCTGAGTTCAGATGGCCAATGGCTAGCAAGCCACTTGTAAGTCATAAGTCTTTGCCAATCCACTTGTAAACAAACAGCAGTAGCAGGAGAAGTTTCAAGACCTCTGTGTCAGTGAAGCAGCAAAGTGGTCCCCTTGCTCTCCTCCACTTGAAGGTACGGTGCCCTAATCCTCCTAGCACCCTCTAGTGACAGAATGTGTCATCTGTGCTTGTTCCACGACAGCATCAATTCTGGCTTCTTAGCCTACAGAATTCCTAGTGAGGAGAGGCATGGAAACCAAAGCCGAAGGAAAAAACAAAAACAAATAAGGAAATGTGGAGAGTTTTACAGATCATCTGAGGTGATACCAATTTGGAGACCATGTTCTGTAGGGGAACAGCAAAGGGCTTGACATCACAGGCATGAAGACTCAGTTGTTGGCTATGAGGGGTCCCTGCCTAGGTGACCTCAGGCAAGGAAGCTTCCTGCATTCTGAGCATTTCTCCTCAGCCTTAAAATGTAGCTATAGTTCCTGCCTATAGCTGCCTATAGGAGTGTTTGGGAATAAAATAATGCATGTAAAAGCACCTTTTTATGACCTGGCACAATCTAGGTGCTCAATAAAATGGTGTTTGAACATGAACTTTAGCTGAGGAATTAAAAAAAAGAACAACTTTGCCATCCAATACATACTGAATTAGCATATTAGTAACATGATCACTTAGTTCCTTTGCTTTTTTTATACACAAGACTTTAAAATCATCAAAAGTTTGGGTGTCAAGGGAAAAACATTATTTAATAACCACAGAGTTCATTAATTTTAACACAGTAGAAGGATTTCCATTGAAGATGTAGCAGGCATCATCCCAGTGTTTTCACAGAGATGCATGAAGACTAATGAATAGACATAAGGAGGCAAATTTGGGTTCAACATTAGAAAGAACCCTCTGGCAATTAGAGCCAGGGCTTCTGTGCTGCATGGTTCCATGGGACAATTCACCCAGACCACAAGCTGCACTTTAGGAGATGATTTGTGCAAGGGGCAAGTGCACTGTAGTCCCAGAGTCTTGGCTGGAGCTGTCCAGCCCACACACATGGGCAGTTTGTGAAGAATGAAGCTCATTGTATGGAATCTGTTCAAGCCCTACCCACAGTGTGATACTGAGCTCCCCACAGTACTTTGGCACCCTGACGTGATTCCAGCTATTCCCTTCCACAAGTGGCAGCTGGTATTGCATGGCTGTGCTTTCTCTTCTTCCTGAAAATAGAAAACCGTTCTTTCCTCACAGATTTGATGGCCACATTTGTGGACACACAGTTCTAACTGTGGTGTCTGATTTAAATAATTAAATTTATTAGCTCTCAAGATTGGTTCATTTTTACTATGAAAGAGAAACTCAGGTACCTGATTTCAGCAACAAAGAAGGATCTTTTGATCTTAGAAAAAGCTATTAAGAAAGAAAAATGGTTGTCTTACAAATGAACACATCTTTTGGGAAGGAACCCCAAAATGTTAGCATCTAAAAGTAATAAGGTACTCTGGGTAGGCTTGGTAGTCATAGAATATCACAAATAATGTTGGATTAGCTTCATTATCTACAACGCTGTCATAGAGGACAGTAGGATTTTGAGGGTCCTTTGCAGGAGGCACAATGTACGACCGGTGTCCTCTTGTAAAACATCCAGTGAGCACACGTACGTAATACATATGCTTTTTCCCATTTACATCTGGTCTGGAGTATGTGTCATTGGCAGAATAATTGGCGTTTACAGCAAAATAGGTTCCCTTTCCATAACACACAGCTGTGGAGAGAAAAAAAAAACATTTTAATAAATTTCTGTGTAGTGTAACATTTGATAGGTTGACCCAATATACCAAACAATGTAAAAAGCATGTTCAGTTTAAACATTTTGTGTGTGTTTGTTTCATTTTTAAGAAGCAAATATTCCACTTCTGAGGGCCAGTCAGTGAATCCTGCCTGAAACTTGGGCTACCCACTGGCCGCCTAGTGTAGGAGAAACAGTGCATCCACACTGTCCCTAGCCAGCTTGGGTTCTCAGGGCTGACACTTCATTCACAGCAGCCAGATTACTCCCTTCCTTACCGTTCTTTCCAGCGTAGCTGCGGTTGAAGCCATTTTTATTGACATGTGGCACTGAGCCAGCATCTGTCCCATGGAAGAGTTGCTTCTCATTCATTTTGTGGCCATTCTTGGCATCCATGGTTTTTTTCTTTGCTTGGTAGCAATTCCAGAGATCTGGATTCTGGATCCTTTCAATCTACAGATTAATAAAGAAAAATATTCTTTTAGGGCCTAGAACACTTGCAGAAGTACAGGAAACAACATGATTGCTGATTTTTGTTAAAAAAAAAATAAAAACCTACACACAATAGCTAATTCCATAGGTTTGATTATAGCTTTCTCTATTTAGAAATCTTTTCATATCCAGTGTTTCATAAACACAGGCATTGGGACAAATGTTGATTTAATTTTTTTAGCATCTTTCATGCAGAACACGAGAGTCCAGGATCCTAAGTAGTCATTATGTGAAGTCTGCTGAGACTGCTCCTCTTCAGTAACTACACCTGATGCTGTCTATCTCTCCCTATCACTTTACCTCTTGCCACCCCGATCCTCCTAGGATACTGCTTGAGCTGCCCATGTTTTAAGAGTGAAAGAGGTACTATAAAGTAATTAATAGAACACTAGTCTGTGGCCCAGTTGGACAAGTGGAGGTATGAATTCTGATTTGAGGGCATCTGGCTATAGACCAAATTGGTCAGGCCTGGATGAAGCTCACTGCTCTCCAGAGCAGTGGTGAAAACTGCCTGGGATCTGGATTATAGATCAGTTTTCAAATTTCTCTAATAACCAAACCAATGTAGAAATTTCACAGATCTGTTCTGAGAGGAATGAAGAGTGGATAAAACTGATTGGGTACCTCACATTAAAGGTAAAAGGTTCCATGCTATCAGAATCTTTTTCCATTCTATAGATGTCTAGGGTCTAACACTATTACCTGTCTTCATGGGGTTCTTTCTGTTGCTGCTGTTTAATTTTGAATTTTTTATTTTTTATTTAGACAAAGATGTAGTTCATAGTCTCAACATTATCACATATTTGGTGATCTTATTTATGACATTTACATTATTTTTTCCTCTTATGCTTTACTTACAGTTTTTAGTCTTTCAACTACAAAAATTTTCTTTGCATTTACCTCAAATTTTGTTTACTTAACTCAATTTTTTTTAAATTAAAGTTTTTTTTTTTTTCTGCCAGGCACTCGTGCCTGTAATCCTAGCTTCTCAGGAGGCAGAGATCTGGAGGATCACAGTTTGAGCCCAGGCAAATAGTTTGAGAGACCCTATCTTGAAAAAAACTGATCACCAAAAAGGGCTGGTAGGCCTGGAGTTCAAATCCCAGTACTGCAAAAAAAAAAAAGTTTTTTCTTAGAATTTGGAAACTGTTCTCAATTTAGTCTTATAATTCTAAAATTTAAGAAGGCTGTTTCTTGCATTTTTAAAATTTAAAACACACACACACAATATTTTTTACAGGGCTATGGGTGTAGTTCAGTGATAGGGTACATGCTTAGCATGTGTGAGGTCCTGGGTTCAATTCTCAGCCCCACAATAAAGATTATTTCAAGTAAACTTTGAACATAGTAATGTCATTCTAATCCTAATTGGATCAAAATCGAACACCAAAATACTTTGCAAATAAATCTTACACTTTGTTTAGTAGATTATGATTAGCAACAAGGTTTTGGCTTTGGTAGGTTACTTATATCAGATCAACCTTCTCACCAACAACGACTAGACAAGCTGGGGAAAAAAAAAGTCTGTTTGAAGGCAACTAGGATTTGATAAGTTAAGATTCCAGAGAGAAGTAAAGTATAAAATCAAACAATAAATTTGGAAGATAGTGGAATAACTTCCTTAAAGTACCTAACGAAAATAACTTCCAATTAAGATTTATATAGCCAGCCAAAATACCTTCCAAAGAATGAAGGTGAAAATATAAAGACATTTTTATTCAAACACTGGAGTGAATTCTCCACTCTTAGATCTGCATTAGAAGAAGTACTAAATCCAGACAGAAAATGATTCCAGAAGGAAATGCAGTGTGAAGTACAGTAGTAGGAAAGTAAAAAAATTTTTAAAGTAGTACAAAGTATAGAAGGAGGATAAATAGGGCTTAAAGCTTTCAAAGAACATTGCATTATCTAGGAAATGATAAATATACTGATTTACATTAGAGGTCAATAAGTCAAAAGTAAACATTATCATTTCTAGAGTAATCGAGAGAAGAATTATAGTAGAATATTTAACTAACAATCTAGAAGGGGGATAAAGTAGGATAATAGAAATACTTAATACAAAAGATGGAAGGAAAAGAGAAAAAGATCAAATAACAGAAGTGAGAAGTAGAAAACAAAGATTAATACAGAATATTTAAACCCAGACACATCTTTTTAAAAGATTAAAAAAACCCTCAAGTATATGGGACTACTAAGAGACACATCTTTTTTTTTTTTTTATTCATATGTGCATACAAGGCTTGGGTCATTTCTCCCCCCTGCCCCCACTCCCTCCCTTACCACCCACTCCGCCCCCTCCCTCTCCCCCCTAGCCCCCGATACCCGGCAGAAACTATTTTGCTCTTATCTCTAATTTTGTTGTAGAGAGAGTATAAGCCATAATAGGAAGGAACAAGGGTTTTTGCTGGTTGAGATAAGGATAGCTATACAGGGAGTTGACTCACATTGATTTCCTGTGCGTGGGTGTTACCTTCTAGGTTAATTCTTTTTGATCTCACCTTTTCTCTAGTTCCTGGTCCCCTTTTCCTATTGGCCTCAGTTGCTTTTAAGGTATCTGCTTTAGTTTCTCTGCGTTAAGGGCAACAAATGCTAACTAATTTTTTAGGTGTCTTACCTATCCTCACCCCTCCCTTGTGTGCTAAAGCTTTTATCATGTACTCAAAGTCCAATACCCTTGTTGTGTTTGCCCTTGATCTAATGTCCACATATGAGGGAGAACATACAATTTTTGGTCTTTTGGGCCAGGCTAACCTCACTCAGAATGATGTTCTCCAATTCCATCCATTTACCAGCGAATGATAACATTTCGTTCTTCTTCATGGCTGCATAAAATTCCATTGTGTATAGATACCACATTTTCTTAATCCATTCGTCAGTAGTGGGGCATCTTGGCTGTTTCCATAACTTGGCTATTGTGAATAGTGCTGCAATAAACATGGGTGTGCAGGTGCCTCTGGAGTAACCTGTGTCACAGTCTTTTGGGTATATCCCCAAGAGTGGTATTGCTGGATCAAATGGTAGATCGATGTCTAGCTTTTTAAGTAGCCTCCAAATTTTTTTCCAGAGTGGTTGTACTAGTTTACATCCCCACCAACAGTGTAAGAGGGTTCTTTTTTCCCCGCATCCTCGCCAACACCTGTTGGTGGTGGTGTTGCTAATGATGGCTATTCTAACAGGGGTGAGGTGGAATCTTAGTGTGGTTTTAATTTGCATTTTCTTTATTGCTAGAGATGGTGAGCATTTTTTCATGTTTTTTGGCCATTTGAATTTCTTCTTTTGAGAAAGTTCTGTTTAGTTCACTTGCCCATTTCTTTATTGGTTCATTAGTTTTGGGAGAATTTAGTTTTTTAAGTTCCCTATATATTCTGGTTATCAGTCCTTTGTCTGATGTATAGCTGACAAATATTTTCTCCCACTCTGTGGGTGTTTAAGAGACACATCTTAAATATATAGTTATAGAAGATGAAAAAGAATGGGAAAAGACACACCATGCTCACAACAACTGAAGAAAGCTGGCGTTGCTTTTTTATTATGATATTATATTATATTATTATATTATATTATAAAATAGTGGTAATAATAATTTCTGTATCAGAATTTTAAAACAATTTTATTTTAGTCTATGCTCGAACAAGTAAATTACTCTTACTAGGAACAAAAATTATAGAAAAAGAGACATACATATAGAATATGTATAGATAATAAAGATATAAGACATACATATTGAATATAAGATAGTAGAATTATCAGTTCTATAGTGCTTCTTCATAGAATTGTCTTCCCTCAATCAGGCATTAGTTTTGCTCAACTTATTTGCATTAAAGGATGTTTTTTAAAATGACATACGTTTGCTAATGAATGTATGGTGAAAATGATGTTAAGAATATTCCTCAGTACTTGATACACAGGAGCAATCTTTCATAAGTCAATCTCAGTATTGTAAAGAGCTGAGAGTCTCCTGAGCAAATGCTTTGCTTTTTTTATCATGGACATTATGAGTCTTGAAACTGAGTGTTTATTTCATTGCTTTGTCTATTAAGAAGCTCAGAGACACACGTACAACTGTTGAAGCCTTCAGATTATATCTGCTCGTTAACTGGTATCACTTCTCTATTATTGAATTCTCCTTACTTTCTTTTTCTCTCTACGCAATTTTCTTTATCCATTCACTTCATCTAAACATACATTATATATCTTTGTAGGAATCATTTTGAATCATATGTGATTAACTACAGGGAAAAACAGAGTGGTAGCTGTGCAAATAAAGAGTAAGGGCAAAAAGAAAACGAGGCCATATTGGCAGGCTTGTTGTTATGGATGGAGGGAAGGCACACAAAGATCTCAGTAAATGGTGGGGGGAAAGTCAGAAACGCATACAGCATGGAAAAGAGAATTAGAATATTTTTGGCCACTGTTAGCATGTTCTAGAAACTCAAATCAAAGATCCACATTGGTGATATTGATTTGGGAACTACCATAATTGAAATAACAGCTGAAGTCAAAAAAAGGTAAAAAACCAAAACAACAACAACAACCACAAAAAAACATTCCTTAGTGAGGCACATAGACAGAATACAAAAGTGTAAGTATTGCATGTGAAATAAGAATTTTGGGTTTAGAGGAGAAACAGATGCCAGTGATAATATAAGGAAATTAGTTTTAAAAAGATAAAAAATGTAAGTGTATTTCCATAGAAGCCAAGAAAGAACATAATTTCAAAGGGAACTCTTAATAATGTTTAAGTATGGAAAATACCAAAGTAATTGAGATGGACAAGGGAAGAGCCATTGAGCTTCCAAGACAGTAAGCACTTGTGGCCTGTGCACATGGGACCAGAGACCAGAATCCAGATTAAGGGGTCTCCATGTGTCTCTTTGTGGTGTTTGCTAGTTATCAAATCTAAGTTTGAAACCATGTCTTTGAATTTTATTAGACCACTTTACAAAGTAAATAATGTATCTCTTTAATATTCTAATGTCATATTTCTATCTTTTATTATACTATACTAATTGACACAAGAATCTTAATGTTTCAAAATTATGGTGATGCAAGTACAATTTAAAATCTAAAATCTAATTACATAGAAGTTCAAATCCTGATTTTACAAGTGTAACAACAGACTGAAACTGAATTTGGAAACGCCATGTCAGCAGCAGGCTTACCTTCTTTATATGACAGCGTGAGCAGGTCTCATTAAACTTTCTGGCCACAGTGTTGTATTCTGGATCACCAGGGTGCAGCTGGACCACACACAAATCCTGTTGCTTCATGTCACTCCAGTGTGCAGGGATTTCAACTGCAATGTAGACATTTGAGGGCTCCCCACACATTTCAGGGATGATTTGAAAAACTAAATAGCATCTGGGTTCTGGTGTTACAATCTCCTAATTCTTTGTGTTCAAGAAGTTCCTTATCTTTTTAGGGGAATGTTTTTCAAATCATGAACCATAGACAATCCACATCAGAACCAACTGGAATGCTTATTGAAAAAAAAAAAAAGACTAGGGCATGTAGCTCAGTTGTAGATCATGCAGGTATAAGGCCCTGCATTTAGCTTCCAGTACCCCTAGAAAAGAAAAGCCCCAGATCTGTCCAATCAGGATTTCCAGAGGTAGAAACTGTGTGCCTAGATCTTAAGTTTTGACTGTGCTAAAATGTGAGAACTCCTGGCTCTCATCTGCATTTTCCGTCAGCCTCTGCTCTGCCAGAATTTAATAAGCTTCAGTGAGAGATGACCTGAAAGTCCAAAGAGGCTAAAGAGAAAGGGACGGTTACCTATTTCTCATGAAAGAGCAATGTTAGGAATAAGCATTTCATAAAAATAAGCAACTCACGTTTAATGCTAGACATCACAGATGGCTGGGGAGACACCTGAAACTTTTCTCTTTTTTTCATGCTGGCACAAAACATGGTCAGTACTTGTGGCAGAATGATAACAACTTTAACTTTTTTAACAGACTGGACTGACCCTTTTTGGCTAAATTCTTTAATGGCATCAATTATGGCTTCAGCAATCTTCTCTGCGCCTTGTCTGGCATTTCCTGCAAAAGCAAATAATAAAAATGATTGGAGAAAAGAAAAAAGATCCAACTGGAAAAGTCTCAGGAATAAATTAGGGATTCCTCCTGTAAATAAATAACAGTCCCCTATTCTTTCCTCAAATGTAAACTTTCTAACAATTAATCAGCACACTGCAGTGGGGAGTTTTTGTTCCAGGATGTCCACAACCAACATTGCAGCACAGGACCCTGGAACCTAACTTCTGGTTTATGACATTCACGTTGTCCTGTACAGCTGATTCCACCTCTCTGTGTTCCATCCCTCCTTTTATAGAGTGCAGGTAACTTTTCTTCTTGACTCACTAGTCTCCTCAAAAGATACGTAAAAAGAAGAAGATGCTAAAGTATGTTGAAACAAGAATCTTGGGGGAAAAAAGGGTTTGGCTCCATTATCACTTGATTTTATGCATGTATATCCATATTTTCCAGATATATTTGGGGACCTGATTTAAACTAAGGTAATTTTGTAAGACACCCAGTACTGTAAGTTACTTCCTATAATCTATAATTCTTTGTTATCTTAACCCTTCAGCAAGTTTCTCTTCCATACGCAGTGAGATTTTAACTTACTCCAAGGCCCAAGATAACCAATGACCAGATCCACTTTCAGCTCCAGCATGCTTCATATCATATTTCTCAAGCCTTGGAAGCCACTGCCTAGGTATGATCACAAAAAGATCTTTTCCAAAAGTCAGGGGAGTGGTCCCACACGAACTGCAGCTGCCAAAGTCACATGGTAGGGAATATAAAAGTCCCCTGGCCAACCTGGTTTGATAGACTATATTCCCACTTGGATTATTGTGTTGATTGTGTTCACCTCTATTGCAATAAATGAAAGTAGACTTCTTTGACTTGGCTACATAGACAATTGTGGGAATGTAGACAATCACCATATAAAGTTAATCAAGAGAGTTTGTTCAGTTTTTTTCTTAATTAGATGATCAAAGAAAGAGGGAAATTCTCCTTTGCAAGGCTGTAGTTTTCCCATGGTATTTGGAAGAGTTTAAATGGAAGCATTCAGATACATGGATCCACTTTCAACAAATATCTGCGATGTCCCATCTTGGGCTGGATACTCACCTATCCACAAAGGATGTGATGTATGGGAATGAACATGTGTTCAATAGGTCAAGTATGGAAAATCTAGGGAAAGACTATTCCATATAGAATAATGAAGCAGGCACAATATGTTCAGCCTGGCATAGACAGGGGATCAGACCATATTTTGAGAAAGAGAAATATGGAGGCGTTGAGGAGCACCATAGTGGGGAATCCAAGTCTAGTTGAGAAGTAATAGAAATTTAGGCAAAAAGACAAATGTTAAAGAAAGAAGACCAAAATGGAGAGTCAGCTATAGAGACTCAGGAGACATTTAGGAAGTAAAGTCAAAGAACCTAGTGACCAACAGGGTTTATCCTTGACTCTTCCCTCCCCCTTTTTCATGACTTATATACCCTCATTATATCATGTGTGTGCTATGTCACAGTCGTTAATGTGCATGCCTAAATCTTCCCATGAGGCTAGGATGTGGACTGAATTTGTTTCTAGGTCATCTTTTCTTTTTCTTTTTTCTTTTGGGGGGATGAAGCAGTGCTGGGGTTTGGACTCAGGGCATTAGGCTGCAAGGTAGGTGCTCTACCACCTGTGCCATGCCACCAGCTGTACCTCATCTTTTTGTTGCCCACGCCTAAGCATGTAAATATTTAATAATGCTAAGTAATGAGCTAACAAACACAAAAGTGATAGACAGGATAGAGCCAAGGGTTCCAGATGGAAAGTGATGCTTTCTAGATGTTTGGGGGTATAAGAGAAAAGGAAGTTATGGAGGGGGTAGTGAATGGGAGTTTGGTGTTTGGGTTGAGCTTGAGTTATTTGTAGGTATTGTTGATCTTAAGTTCCCTCCCTATCTGCAAATGAAGAGAGGTTTTCTTTATTGTCACATGCTGCCTTATTCACTGTCCCAATTCAACTCACTACTAAGAGATGGTCTAAAGACCTGCTAAGATGGTAATGAAGATAGCTAAAGTAACAAACAAGGAGAATCTGATAATTCTGATTTCTTTGTGCAGACCAGCAGTACACCCAGGTTTGTGGAAAATAAAACAGACTGGGCAGTAACCCAGAAATACTGAAATAAGTGTACATATTTATACAAAATGAAAACTGTCTCCTTTCCTTGCTTCTTCTTTTGACTCTGCCCAGGAACTACCTTAGGACAATAAATGCTACCCCTGGGTTGCTGCTTTCTTGGACCAAAGAAGTTTAAGGAGGAAACACAAGATTAGATTTCATAGAAAAAGACAGATGGAATCAGAGACTGAGAAGCCATTGGTGGGTGTCCACAAAAGATTAATACGTAGATAAATGGATGAGAATGAAAGAAAGAAAGAAAGAAAGAAAGAAAGAAAGAAAGAAAGAAAGAAAGAAAGAAGGAAGGAAGGAAGGAAGGAAGGAAGGAAGGAAGGAAGGAAGGAAGGAAGGAAGGAAGGAAGGAAGGAAGGAAGGAAGGAAGGAAAGGAAGGAAGGAAGGAAGGAAGGAAGGAAGGAAGGAAGGAAGGAAGGAAGGAAGGAAGAAAGGAAGAAAGGAAGGAGGAAAGAAAGAGAAGGAAGGAAGGAAGGAAGGAAGGAAGGAAGGAAGGAGACCCAGAAAGGGACAAGGATGACTCTCTTGGAGAGCGTGAATGCCAGTCTAAGACAGTCAAAGTATGACTTTTGAAGAGCAGGCTGAGAGCTCAGCGCTGGGTGCGCTCTTGCTTGGCCAGTCCCCTTTTATCCTAAGAGAGCACACCTCTCCTGATCAGTCCCCTTTACTGGAAACCAAGCAAAAATCTGTCATCAATGCATGTGACCCTGATTCATGGGGCAGAACTTGAAGGGGAACCCCTAATTAATGGTGAACCCAAACCATTATAATTCTATGTGAAAAGTCACACAATCAGCATAGTTTGATTAAAAACAAGAAACAAGAAACTCAAATGAAGTAAATGGGCTGAAAGGAGGAAGGTGGAGAGTTGATTCACTAGGTTCTAGAGACTTTTACACAGAGAAGTCAAAAGGCCAACAGACAGGGCTAATTATGGAGCTGAGGGTTGGAACTGTTCATGTGGGATTTAGCGAAGACCAAGTGAAAGATGCACTGATATTCTCTATGGGGAGTGGATAGAGGAGCAAGTTAGGATTCATTGTAAAATATGTAGGGGAGTAAAAGGAGGAAGGAAAAGATGAATGAGCATGAGGGATGGCCTTTTTTTCCCCACTGTCTTCCTACTCATCTCTCCCCTTACTTTCCCTTCCTTTCTTTCTGTCTAATATATCAATATTCTTCAGTTTTCTCCTTTTATTTTTTTGAGATGGGGCATCCCTCTGTCAACCAAGGTGGCCTTGATTGCCCGGGTTCAAGCCATCCTCTTGCACAGTAACTGGAACTGCAGGCACTTCGTCACTTTACCCATTCAAATTTTCCCTTTTTACTTAAAGCAGCCACAGGCTTTACTCATTCTAGCAGGGGTGCCTTGGCGTAAGGAAGCTATCCCACTCCTAAATCAATTGTCACTGTCTTCACTCAGACTTGTTGTGTATCCACCAATTAACATTCAGCACAGATCCATAGGAAAATGGACACCTTGGGATTTAGCCTTGACAGCCAGAGGCTACAAACCTGTTCCAATGGCTGGGAGGCAAATGGATGAGTATTTCCGCTTTTCACACTCTTGCAACACACTGAAAACAGATCTCTTGACATCATTTCCACCAATAACATGAATAATTTTCTTGCACTTCAATGATCCACCTTCAGTAACTATATACCCATTGTTGATCTGTTGAGCTGAAAACACAGACAAAAAGATACAAAATTATATGTTGAACCTTCTCTTTCATTAAGAAACAAAATGTCTGCCAGGTACTGGTGGCTCACGCCTATAATCCTAACTACTCAGGAGGCAGAGATCAGGAGGATCATGGTTCAAAGCCAGCCCAGACAAATAGTTTATGAGACCCTATCTTGAAAATATCTAACACAAAAAGGGCTGTTGGAGTGGCTCAAAGTGTAGGCCCTGAGTTCAAGCCCCAGTACAGCAAAAAAAAAAAAAGGAAGAAGAAAAGAAACAAAATGTCTGATTTGACAAGGAAGCATTTTATGAATAAGAAACTTTGAAAGACTATCTTTCATGAAATTTCATGTCTTAATTTCTCTTTTTAACTAAGGTTTCTTTTCAATTCTAATCTCTGCAATTAGAATTCTGAGGTAAAATGTATGATTGTAAGACAAATGTATTGTGTTCTCAATCCCAAATTTCTTTTTCTTTACGGCCTCCCATTTTCAGTCTCCCACTTATAATTTGGGACCAAAACTACCATTGTGCCTTACCTCTCAAATAACATTCCATTTCCACTTTATGTCCTGCACCTTCTAAAATTGCTTTGGAGACCCCTATATGAGAAAATCAAGATGGTAACAAACATAAACAAAAATCACTGCAATGCTTGGATCAGAAAGATTGCATCATTGTCTAAACACATTCCCAGTCAACAAAGGAGTATTACAGCTTGGTATTACTGATAACAAAGGAAAAATTATAAAATAACAGCTGCCAATTTTAAGAAGCCCTGTCAAAATAATTTTAAAGTTATTAAGTAATATTAAAAATCCAAAGTTAAAAGACAAGTTTGGTCATAAAACTCTCCTTCACAGAGAGGCAGTTTATCAAAGGGATTAAAGTAAGCCAAAATCAAGTGAATTTAAAAATCAAACATTATGCTGGATAATCTTCTAAGAAAAACATATTAGTTATTTTTTTCCCAGCATTGAATTACAAGGTATAGCCAAAATAATTTCTCTAGAGGAATAATGCACCAAGAATTAAGATTTTCTGACATAGCAATTCTTCCTGTTAGAAGAATACTCATAAAAATTGCAAAAAATAGGCAATATGTCAAACCAATGATGTAAGATTTAGGCAGGGAGTTAGGAAACCTGATGATTGAAAATATAGCTTGGCTGTTGATCAGAAAAAAAATCACATCCAGGCACCCGATTTAATGGAATGACCCATGACAACAATATGTCTGTTGTTGAAGCTCCTGCAACACAAAAAAGTAAAAAGCCACTCAGTCTATCCAAGACCAGAACTATCCACCTGACATAGAGTAGGAGAAGTTAATGACACATTAACCCAGTTTTTAAGGACTAATCCCCCCATATCTGCAGACCCCAATAAATGTGTGAGGTCTTAGGACCCTGGGGGAGTGTTTCTTCTTGAACTTGCCCACTCTCCCCATGTGGAGGGTATATGTTCACTTTGTTTTTATTTTGTTTTGCATTAATAAACCCTTTTCCTGCATAAGCTTCATTTCTGTCTGTCCTTGAATTCTTTCTCTGATGAGACCAAGAATCTTTTGGCCTTAGAACCTGGTACCCTAAATCTGGTTCAAGTGAAGTACCTGATTTGAGGTTAAATGTATTTGATGTAGAATTTACAATCACATCTGCTGCTTCTTTGGTGATGTCTCCAGAGGCCACCTGGAAGAGGATGGGTCCAATCTCCATTTCATGCACCTCTAAAGCAGGGTTGGAAACAGCCCTATAGAGACCTGCCAAGAAAAAAAGTGGAGCTAATTGCCAAGTCAACAAGTGCAAGAATGACTCACACATGCCCCTGTACAAGGACTTCCCTCTATTTGTGTGACCTTTAGCCTTTACCCTGACCCTGTGCCTGAGGCCCAGTAATGGTCTGTTTCCAAAAAAGATTGGAAGATACAGTTTATATCAAACATGGTGTCTGGGTTGGCCAATGTTAGAGGCTGTCTCTACCAGAATTACAACTAAAAACTGGGGACAAGCAAGATGGCACCACATGAGAACTCTGAAAAGTAAATAGCAACAGGCAGGTTAGGGCAAAGAGTCAAAACTTAAAGAAGCAACCTGTATTTCTAAATTGAAGAGGCTGCCCACAGAATGGGAGAAAAATCTTTGCCAGCTATACATCAGACAAGGGACTAATAACCAGAATATACAAGGAGCTCAAAAAACTAAACTCCCAAAAAATCATTGACCCGATGAAGAAATGGTCAGATAAATTGAACAGAGCCTTTTTAAAGGAAGAGGTCCAAATGGCTAAAATAACAAATGAAAAAATGCTCACCATCCCTGACCATAAAAGAAATGCAAATCAAAACCACACTAAGATTCTACCTCACCCCATTAGGATAGCTACCATCAAGAATACAAACAACAACAAACATTGGTGAGGATGTGTGGAAAAAGGAACCTTCATACACTGCTGCTAGGAATGTAAATTAGTACAATCACTATGGAAAACAGTATAGAGGCTCCTCAAAAACTAAAAATAGAACTTCCATATGATCCAGCAATAGCACTCACTGACAGCGATATACTCAAAGGAATGTAGGTCAGGTTAGAACAAAGGCACTTGTATACCCATGTTTATTGCAGCATTATTCATAATAGCTCAGTTATGGAAACAGCCAAGATGCCCATTACTGATGGATGGATTAAGAAAATGTGGTATTTACATACAATGAAATTTTACTCAGCTACAAAGAAAAATGAAATTTTGTCATTTGCAGGTAAATGTATAGAACTGGAGAACATCATCTTAAGTGAAGTTAGCCAGGCTTAAAAGGCTAAAGCTGAATGTTTCCTCTCATATGTGGAATATAGACCTAATACAAACAGAGTAATATTCTGGTCATACTAAGAGAATGTCACATACGAGATGGGTAGAATAAAAAAAGGAAACTAAGAAGATGAATATAGTTGATATACTCTCTGTATAAGAATGAATATAGAATTCTTAAACCAGCAGAAACCTCCATAAGAAAGGGACTAAGGTAAAAATGAAGAAAAATTCAAATGAATCTATTGGGGTCATAATACAGATACACATGGAAATATCATGAGGAAACTCCCTTTGTAGCTACTTTCATCTCAAATAAGCTAATATGTTATTTTTTTTTCTTTTTTCTTTTTTCCTTCTACAAAATCAGAGAACAGGAGGGCAGAGCAGGTAGTGCAGTGGGAAGGGAGAGGTGGAGGAAAAAGGGGGTAGGAGGGTGAATATGGTGCAAATAATATGTACACATGTACGTAAATGAAAACAATATTACCTGTTGAAACTGTTCCAGGAATGGAGGGCTATAAAGGAGAGTGTTGGAGGGAGTGAATCTAAGTATGATATATTTGATACATTGTAAGAACTTTTGTAAATGTCACAGTGTACCCCCCATCCAGCACAACAATTAAAGAAAAGAGAAAATACACCTCAAAAAGAAGAAGAAGAAGAAGAAACTTGTAGAGGAGAAATTTCCCATTTGGTTTAGTTATCCCCCTAGTTTTGACTTCAGGGTGGCCCCTAGACAAACCCTGACTTGGAGAGAGTCCATATCATTGAAGACTGTGAGAGGGAATCCTTAGTTTTGCGTGTGCCACGCACACACACACACACACACACACACACACACACACACACTCATGCACACACAAACAATCGTTTTGTTTTATTTTGGTGGTAGTGGGAATTGAATCCAGGGCCTTGCACTTCCTATACAAGTGCTCTACTGACTGAGCCACAGTTCCAGTTCTTTTGTTTTTATTTTATTTTTGAGATAGGATCTCTATAACTTTGCCTGGGCTGGCTTTGAATTCCCAGTCCTCTTGCCTCCACCTCTCTAAAACCAGGGATTAGAGGCCTGTACCACCACACACACACACTTTTAATCCAGGTCTTTGCCCAAGTGACCCCAGTTGCAGAACTCTGCATTGACACCACAAAGAACTAAAACTCTGAAACACATTCTGTATTTCCAGTCAGAAGAAGCAGGGGAAAGGGCCTGTGGTCTGAACAGTACATGTGTATCTGTATGGAACATTCTTATTTCTTCTTTCTCACTTCCTTTCTCTCTTTACTTCACCCAAAGACAACACTGGTGATTGATGTAAGGATGAGGCAATATACAGGCAGCTTGAACTCTGACAGATCCATGACTCTTTAGCTAGAGGTCTGGAAATGGGCTCTGCAAGCCAGAGTTGAGGGGACTCAATTAGGGAGAAGAGGAGACCCTAATTCTACATGTGAACTGGAGTAAGTCCCGAACACCCCCAGAACTGCCCATTTGCAGGGCAGGCCTAAAGCAGCACAGCTATGTCTCTGACAACTGAAATAACATTATTCCTCTGCCCACTTAAAAGGTGAGATAGCATTGCAGAATGAACTTAAATGTGTGCCTGCTAAACAAGAGAAACCACAAGCATTCTCCAGAGAGTTTTCATAGGACCCAAGTCTCACAGTGTAATATTCAAAATGCCCAGCCTACACTCCAAAATTGCTTGTCACAAAAGAACCAACTTCTGAGCACAAAGACAACAATAGATCTGTAGCCTCAAATTGATCCAGATGTTGAAATTTTTAGACTTTAAAGCATCTACTGTAACGATGGCCTATGAAGTCAGAGTAAAACATTAAAATGAATGGAAATGATTTGGAATGAAAGGAAGGACAGGAGCTCTTTACAGAGAAATGGAATCTATACAAACAGGCCAAAATGGATATTTTAGAACTCACAAGTCATTAAATGAAATGAAAATATTCACTGGATTAATTCAACAGCATAGTGGACAGAGAAAAGACTCAGTGAACCTGAGGGTAGATCAATATAGATTATCCAATCTGAAGAAAAGAGAGGAAAAAAAGATTGTGGACAAAGGAAAAACAGCTCCTCAGACACCTATTTGAAGAAATAATAATCAAAAGTTCTCAAGTTTGATGGAAGACATACATTTTTTAAATCAAGAAGCCTCAGTGAAGCTGGGCACTGTAGTACGCACCTGCAGTCCCAGCTACTTGGAAAGCTGAGGGAGGAAGAACATTTGAGCCTAAAAGTTCAGGGCCATAGTGAAGCTGTCCTAAAAAAAAAAAAAAAGTCTCAATAAATCTGAAACAGGATAAACTCAAACTGAAAAGTATCTACTTCAGAAAATGTCACATTTTCCCTTGAAAGTGTCCTCACTACATAAAAACCCATTTATGGACTATACAACTTGGTCCACCTTCCCTTTTGCCCGAGATTACATAAACATGGCTGTGTCTTGTCTCAGCTTTAGGGAACATAATTTAGTATGTTTTTCTATCATCAATTTTTTCAGAAAAATTATTACTTTTTTTGTCACTGAATAGTTACTTAGCAACTAAAAATCATTTGTAAATTTAAAAGCTTTACTGAACCTTGTATATCTTCAGTCTTGGGAATTTTATCACTAAGATTTACAATATTCTTCCTGGCCAATTCATCTGAAAATGCCTGAAAATACAAACAGTTTTTACCATTATAGCTCTCAGGTGATGAATGAATTTCATTCATTAGGGCTTTTGATCCTCCATGCACATATATACATTTAGAAAGCACAAGTCTCAAAAAGTATTATTTACTTTACATACTTAAAGTTACAAAAATAATAAGTGTGATTCCATTTCTACAAATGTATCTTATGATAATTATCAAAGATGTGAACAAAGATATAAATACAATGATACTCATTACAGTGCCACTTACAATAGAAAAAAAATAAAACAGTTAATCTGGGCCCTGGTGGCTCATGCCTGTAATCCTAGCTACTTGAGAGGCTGAGATCAGGAGAATCTCAGTTTGACACCAACTTGGGCAAATAGTTCATGAGCTATTGAAAAAAAAATAAGCAGAACAAAATGGAGTGGAAGTGTGGCTCAAGCAGTAGAGTAACTGTTTTGCAGGTGCAAAGCCCTAAATTCAAACCCCACTCCCACCAAAAATACTACTACTAATATAATAATATAATAAGACAGTTATAATCCAATGGGGAAATAATTCAATAAGTTTTGATGTATCCATGAATTAGAATATTTAGCAGCCATTAATATCATATTTTCAAAGAATACTTAGTGGAATAGAGAAATGTTCATTCTATACTATTAAATGAAAAATGATACTAACTTACATACTATATAATCCCACATTAAAGAGTATACTTGTAGCAAAGAAGACTGGAATGAAAGACAACAAAAGAATTTATACATTCTGTATTGTTCAAAGTTTCTACAATGAAAATGTATTGGCTTTATAATCAGGAAAAGCAAATGACTTGCCAATTTATAAAATATAGTATTAAAAGATAATCCCAAGGTTCTAAGCATTTGAGTTAACTTCTTAATTGTGTCAAGAGAATGGGAAGGAAGTAGTGAGTTGAGGAGCAAGAGGGTAGTGTATATATTCAATCAACAATGAATCTGAATTTCTTTTTTTGGCCTGGTAGTAAAACTGAAAAATCATCACTATCTTTGTCTTTATAAACAAGCAACAGATAATTTTCTGAGGTGAGAGCAGGCAACATGTAGCTGAAAACTGACACAGTGGAGGGGAAGGGATGGGAAGAGACTGCTTGAGTGAGAATCTCAGACTCACAGGCCTCAAGGACCAGGTAGGTGAAGTACGCAGGTAAAAAGAGGACTAATTTAAGTCTAGAGAACATTAGAGCACCTGCCACTCAGCCACAGCAAACTCTTCCTGGCAGGAATCCCTGTCCAGCATTCCAGAACTTTTCGAGTTTTAGGTCACATTATGTTTGGACACCTGGAGTTTCATGTGAAAATTTTATATATAGCCCTGTTCTGACACAGGGATGCGGTCTGCAATTTGTTTTGCAGTCTTCAGGTAAAAACACCTCAGTGTTTCTCTCCCTGTGAAACTACAATCAAAGTTGAACTGTCTTTAAAAATCTTAAGGAAAAAAATATAATAGTCATGTGTAGAGAATAGATAGCATTTAGAATACCATTAAAGCCATCTGCAGAGACTAATCCTTTTTACAAAATATTTACAGAGTATTCAACATTTTTAAGAAAGAAAATAAAGTTTGGTCTGCTCACAAAACAGTGAGATTTGAAGGCTCAGGTCTGTGTACAGACTCATTCCCCTAGCCACTTAGCCATTCTTCAAATGCCTTGGATTTAGTTTGCTTTGTGTATATAAGTCAAAGCTCCCAAACCAATTCTGATTTATAGGAGGGAAAGTATATGCAACATACTGTGTTCCATGACCCACATCTTTTCGTGCAACGTTACATCAGAAGGAGGTTGGTAAAAGCTCCTTCACTGAGTAGAAGTAACTGTAGTTACACGGGCTAAATAAATGGAACACATACTTTAACCAGGCTGCCTGGTTGGGAAGTAGTTTAGATGTGCTTGCCTCCAAAGAATTTATATGTCTTGCTCCAGAAAAAAATAAAGTATGACTAAAAATTCAGGTGGTCCAGTAATCCACAGACATCTCTTAGGATGTTGGCTTAAATTTGTTTGCTAAATTCCTGCAATGTCAAGGAACTTATCAAATATTTAATATTATCTACTCTCCTGGGGTATAACGACATGGAGGGTGGGAAGAAGGGCTTAAACACCTCTAGTTCTCCCATAATGCCAAGTCTAGTGGCTCATCCACAGCTGATGTTCGGTAAACCTGAGCTGATTGGCAGACTATGACTACAATGATTCTGGTATTTCTGGTCCCAGCTTTTCTACTCACATAGGATATGCTGCTGAATTCTAACCACACCCTTCACTTGTAATTAGTTGAATTATTTGCATTCCGTCCTGAAACTGACATTTTCTTATTGATAAGGCCATAACTGTGCTTTTATGTTACATATTTCTAATTCTATGTGGAAGGGAATCCTATAGGTTGAAAAAGTCCTAAGAAACATGTCACATCCATTATAATATGTGGGCCTTAATTAACTCTAATTCAAATGCAAGCTGTAAAGAAAAAATAAAACATTTGAGCATTAACTTTATAATTGATCAAGTAAGAGGAATTGTTGCCAAATTTATTTTACATATGATAAAGTAGTATTTTAGTATTTACTTTAAAAATACAGATAAAATTATATATCTGGGATTTGCTTCAAAATCACATGAGAGGAAGGAAAATGAGAGAAAGTAGAGATAAGAGATCAAATGTTATGGTCATAGTTGATAATGTTTAAACTAAGTAATAAATACCAGGTTGTTCATTGGACAATTTAATCAACATTTGTATGTCTTTAACATTTTTCTGAATAAAAAGTTAATTTTTTCAATATCCATACTTTTTCTTGAAACTTGTCGTACTAGAACTAGTCAACAACACTCTCTTACTTTCCTAGATGGGAAAGGAAACATCCTATTAGACCAAGATGATATTGGAGAACTGTAGGTTCCAAACTGAGGTTTCTAAAATAATCAGAAATGAGTCAAGATTGTACCTGAATATTTTTGTGATCTTTTGGGTGCAACAGAAATTGAACCTCTTGTAAAGATTTCAGTTGATTCATGCTGCTAAATTTCAACACTTCTGAAATGATTAATTCAGCAAATAAAGGTTTAGGAAATCCCAAATTTCCTGTTCCTATTGCTGGAAATCCAATTGATTGTAAAGATAATTTCTCAGTGATCTCCAAACAGCCTCTGATTATGTCTTCCATGATCTGAAAAGCACAAAGCACATTCGTATACGTCTTGCCTAGAAATGGGAGTTAGAACCAAGGGAACAAGAATTAACAAACTTTGTGAACTCTGATCTCTGTCCATCCATTTTTTTTTTTTACTATCCACAGGGGTTACAAATGCTCAGAAGAAAAAAGAAAAACCCAAAAAACAGGAAAGGGAAAAGAAAATGTGGGAGATCCTCTATGATGATTCAAACTCACTCTGCCATGAAGGAAGGAAGAGATGCACCAACTCTACTTGTCCTTCATTTTCTCCATCTTTAGCCCCTTGCCTCACTTTACTGTCTAAAGTGAGATAAACTTCAATACCTTTCTCAGACTCCCAGTATTTACTGATCACAATAATCAATTTATATTTTAATTAATCCTTACAGGATATCAGTCATAAGTAAAAGAAACGGACATAATGATGGAACCTGCCCAAAATGTGGAATTATTATAGAGAGAAGGAGATAGGGTCTAACCTATGGTATTCTAAAAGAAGAGTCCAAAGATTACACCAGTTCCTGGAGTATTTAAACCAGGCCCTACCTTGTGTGAAAGTGTGCTGTTAATTCTCCAGTCTGGAGTCACCACATGAAGCACACAGTGACAGTGCAGGTTACAACCACTGGTTTGGAGAATTGTGCCCAAGCGTACAGTGACCCTTTGTCCAGCGGCGTCCAGCTCCTCCTGGAACTTTGGTCCAGCTTTTTCCAAGAGGGCCTGAGAAAGGGGCCCTCTATTGAGCCTAAGATCCGAGGGAACGGAATTGACAATGACCTGGGTCTTAAAGACAAAACCAAAGATTTGTTTAAAATGCTCACATCAGGTATTCATCATCCATGACTCCATTGGAGCCACTGGGCTTGGCACAAGGGAGACAATGAAGATGATTAAGGTTTTGGATAATGAAATGCCAATCCAAGACAAAGCATTTTTAAGCAAATCTCCAGGACGAGAGACAGCTTTCAAAACAGAACCTATAAATGGCATGGGATGACTTGAGGAGTTCAGAAGAAGGCCCTTCAATGCCTGGTGAAGATGCCATGGGCAATGTGGGGCCTGAGAAATGGGAATAGTTGCAGCAGGCAGAGAGCACCAGGGAATGGCTAGCATTACTCATGGTGGATTGGGAGCTGTGAGCACGTTGGTCTGAGCTGATGGAGAGCTTCTGCCACCAGGGTAGACATGGTGCCCTGGAGTAGACTGCAGATGGCCCACCTTGTGTGCCAAGCCACAACCTTGGAAGCTTTTCCATCGGAGTACATGTGAGCAGATAATCAGGCTGGATTAGAGAGGCGGAGAAGAGAGAGGAGAAGAAATGTGTCCCTCTGCGTGGGTCTCTGAGGAGTAAGCACAGCAGTTACTGTGGCAGTGGAAGCCACACACCTTGGGAGGAAAAGGAATGTAAAGAACATCTTCATGTTCATGTCAGGGGGACCAGGAACAGAACTCATTCCCATTCCTCTTGGGCAAAAGAGCATGATCTTTATTTGTTTGGTTTTTATAATGAGAAACAAAATTATTTTCAAGATATTGAATGTTGCAATAGTTAAGAATCTGGACAAATTTCAATCCTTGCTCTACCTGTTTGCTAGCTGTGGGACTTGCGCAAATTACTCAACCCCTCTAAATGTCATCATTTAAGTGAGAATAATGCCCCTAGAATAATGGCATTGAATGAGAAAATGCATGCCAAGTACATAACACAGTGTTCAACACACAGTAACAATCAAGGTTAGCTGTGATTTTGTAATTACTACTTTAGCTTATGTACCAAAGTACGTACCATATGTAGAAATCTAATTAATCTTCTAGTTCATTATTTTCAACTAAAACAAAAAGTATTAAAAAAGGAACAACTTGAACTAAAGAATAGGAGAAAACTTATCACACAGAATAGGAGAAAATATTTGCAAATCACAAATCTGATAATGAACACTTAAACTCAATAATAAAAAGAAGATCCAATGTAAAAGTGGGAGAAGGATCTAAATAGACATTCCTCCCAAGAGGATGCATAGATGGCAAAGAGGTACATGAAGAGATGTTAAACATCATTAGTCATTAGGGAAATGCAAGTCAAAACCACAGTTTATAATCCTAGAGTGGCTGTAAGACGGGTAATAATAAGTTTTGGCAGGACATGGAGAAATTGGACATTGCTGACAGGAATAAAAAATGATACAGCTCCTTTGGGAAATAGGCTGGCAGTTCCTTAAAGTCAAGCATGGAGTTACAATGTGACCCAGCCACACCACTCCCCAATATGTAGTAAAGAATGAAAAATTGTCATTCATGCATGTTCTGTAAACAAATGTTCACAAGTAAAGTACCCATAAAAGTTAAAGAGTAGAAGCCTGGAGTTGTGATGCATGCCTGTAATCTCAGCTTCTAAGAAGGCCAAGACAGGAGATCACAAGCTCAAGACCTATTTTAGAAATAAAATACAAAAGAAAAAGGGTGTGGGCTCAAGAGGTAGAGTATTTGCCTAGCAAGGTCCTGGTATAATTCCCTTAGCACACACACAAAGTCAAAGCATAGAAGCAGTATAAATGTTTATCAGTTGATACATAGCTAAAAAAAAGTGTGTCCCTACAAAAAGCAGTGAAATACTGATATGTGCTACAGCATGGATGAACCTTGAAAACATTCTTCTCAGTAAAATAAGCCAGTCACAGAGGACCACAAATTGTATGGTTTCATTTGTATGAAATTTCCAGAATAGGTGAACCTATAGCAAAATAAAAAGAAGGTTAGAGGTTCCCCAGGGCTAATGTGGGTGGTGGAAAAATGGGAATGACTGCTGATGGGCACAAAGTTTCTTTCTGGAGTGATGAGAGTATTCTAAAATTAGATAGCACTGATAGTTGCATACATCTATGAGTATGCTAAATACCATTGAATTGCACAGTATGGGCAAGGTATGTGAATTATATTTCAGTAAACTTGATCAAGATACATTATATGCATGCAAGGAAATATCACAACCAAATCCCTTTCACAATTAATATACAGTAATAAAAAGAAGGGAAAGAAGAAATAAATGCAATAAAAGCTTTTTTAAGCAAAAAGGATGATGACTGATTTTGACTATTACATTATTTTCAGCTTTTCTTCTTTAAGACTGTGAGAGCATGCTAAGATAATAAACACGTTTAGATTGAAATTGTTTCAATTGTGTCCCTATCACATTACATTGGACTGTTTTTGTTGGATATTTTTTTTTGTAATTTATTCAAAGCTAAACATTTCACAGTTTACAAAATCTGCTCATTTCATCTAATATCATATAAAGCATATCCAACTGGGTGTTGTTTAAAAATAATGAGGACAAATGACACCCAATGGTGACAATTTGGAACTTTGGTCTTGGTCTTTGAATAAAACATTCAAACTTGATTAAAATTGATGTCTGGTTTCTTTTAAGTATATTGTGCTAATAAATCTTTTTAGAAAGTGGCACAAAAAATAAAAAGAGCTCAGAACTGTCTGGGAGACAGGAAGGCACTCACTCAGCCTGGTGCCCCAGACTCTCTTTGGCAGCCTGAGAACTTCCCCAATCCCTCTGAAGCCAGCAGAGGAAGGCTGGGGCTAATGTTCACTGGAAGACACAGCTATGACAAAGCTAACTTATAACCCAGAGAAATGTGGTTTTTGGTTGGTAAATAGATGCTACCCTGCCCTGCCCCTGGTGCTCCCACCGATCCTTCCGCACCCAACAAGGAATCCCTTCCCCAGGACTTCCTATTATCCTCCAGTTGAAGACATGCAGCTTGATTCAGTAGGAGGGGTTCAGATCCTCCTCCAGATGGATATTGTTCTGATTGTTTAGAGCCCGTGTTGGAAAGGTGTTAAATATCTTTTAAAAATCATGTTAATCCCCTAGTATCCTCCCCACACATACACCACCAGCCTACAAGAGTTGTTCCTACCTGAAACCTGATACCTGGACTTCAGGTCCACTTACCCACCTCCACATACAAACAACAAATTGGTGTGGGTGCTATTTGCTCCTCACATTCTGGCCCCAAGCTCACCCTTGTTCAGCTCCATTGACAAAATTCCTGTCCCCTGCATCCTAAATCCTCTTTTCTGTGTCTACAATCAGGAAATCTCACCAACCTTAGATTTACCAAAATACCTCAGGTGTAAAGGCAATGAAAATGTATCAGGAGCCGTCTAAATATATGACATCATTATGGATTTTTATATTTACTGGCAATCTATGATCTGATTTCAATACCCTTTCAATTTTCACAATAATGGGCCAATTAGTAAGTAGCCCAATTATCTAAGGAAACCTGTTTCAACGAAGGATGGAGGGTATGGGATTATATCCTTGGTTCACCTCCTACATCCCTATCTTCCTTTGGTTCTTGATGAGAAAGACACAGACTAAGAGGCATCACAGCACCTTTGTGGTGTTCTGTAAATGGTGAAACTCACCTTAGCATTCTGCACATCTCCTTTCACCAACAGCATCCTTAGGCCTCCTGTCTGTTTCTGTGATATTTGTACAGATTGGACTGCTGCTGTTAAATCGCTCATGAAGGGTGCTTGGGGAAGGAATTTTTTCTTGGGCTGGTAAACTACATCGGGCCAGGTGTTTTTGAATGTAGTTTCCATAGGTTCAACAAAGGTCTCATTAATCTCAAATGGGTCCACAGGATAAAATTCCTTCAAGGTGTGTCCTTTCTCCTCATGCTGAAAGTCATCCTTCAGGGTCCAGTCCATGGTCTCCACACCTAACACAAAGAAACCACTTATCTGAAGGAACCTACTTTTGCTAACATGAATAACTCTAAGGAAAGAGCCACAAATTACATTTTTTTGCCCATGTTCCAATCTCTTAGAGTACATTCCCCTTTTTTCTTGTTGTTACTGTTTTGTCATACTTGCCTAATAAAGTCTTTTCTCACCTTCTACCTTGTGAATCATCACAAAGTTCTTCCCTACAAATTGAAGAGCCTGGAGACTGGGGACTGGATAATTAGTTAAGACTTTCTTTTCTATTGACAGCCTCCTCAACCCCTCCAGTGACAGAAGCTTTGAAGAGCCAGCCAGGAAGTGGTGCTTTTCCACCATCATGAAGCAAGATCACCTCCTAAAAGCTTGCTTTAGTTTTTTCTCTTCCCTGTTTCTCTAAGTCTTCCTCTCTCCCTTCTCCTGTCTCATAAAGGGATATCTGTTTTAAGGATTCACCCATTCATCATTCCCTTTTCAAATTCCACCTTTTAGAAAACGAGACCATCATACAAAAGCTCCAGAAATAAAATAAGCCCCATTAGATCCCACACACCTCATCTGCATGTGAGACAAACAAAGGCAACTGACAGGACAGAACATATGCGGTTGATCAACCAAGTTGCCACCGCTGCAGGTCTTTCCTCTTGTAAAGGAAAGATTTCCATCAGAGATTGAATGAAAAGGATGCAGCCCTCATGTGACTCCTGGGAATAAGCTTTCAAAAGCAGCACTTTTGTTCTGCTACTGTCTATCAGACTCTGGAGCATATACCCCCAGCTTCTGCGTGGGAAAGAACAACTGTGGCTTATCCAGGAGGTGTGGGTAAGGGACTGCTCTCCTCATACCTGTGTCACTCAGCATGTAATAGGGGACAATTGGATCATTGGTGATTCAAAACTAATCCCCATAATGCGGCACACATACAGACCCCAAACAATTTAACTCCCAAGGCAGAAATTCTCTTTGCTAAGACTGTGTTTACCTCTAGTGTCTGCCCCATTGCCGGTGTCAATGCAGCACACCCTCCCTCTCCTTCTCTCCTTCACCATCCTTCTGAGAGATGGCAATAGGTGAGGGAGTGGGTAGCAGGGAGGGGTCCCAGGGCAGAAGGGAGGAGTCCTAGCCCTTGTTGATATCCAGGCAGGGATCTAGCCCTGGCTAGTTCACCAGGTTGGTCCTCCAAGACCCAGGAGCAATTGGTGCCAGAGATGTAGAATTCTCCTGCTTTAACTCTGGATACTACCACCAACAAGAAGCTGAGATACTGACAGTTTGCCTGTCTCTGCTTCTCTCACTCTGTGCTCTCACTTCTATCAAACACTCTTTTTTTCTTTTTTTTAAATTAATTAATTAATTTATTTATTTTTCATTTTTCTTTTATTATTCATATGTGCATACAAGGCTTGGTTCATTTCTCCCCTCTGCACCCACCCCCTCCCTTACCACCCCCTCCCCCCTCCCTCTCCCCCCCAATACCAGCAGAAACTATTTTGCCCTTATTCTTCTAATTTGTTGTAGAGAGAGTATAAGCAATAATAGGAAGGAACAAGGGTTTTTGCTGGTTGAGATAAGGATAGCTATACAGGGATTGACTCACATTGATTTCCTGTGTGGGTGTTACCTTCTAGGTTAATTCTTTTTGATCTAACCTTTTCTCTAGTTCCTGGTCCCCTTTTCCTATTGGCCTCAGTTGCTTTAAGGTATCTGCTTTAGTTTCTCTGCATTAAGGGCAACAAATGCTAGCTATTTTTTAGGTGTCTTACCTATCCTCACCCCTCCCTTGTGCTCTCGCTTTTATCATGTGCTCAAGTCCAATCCCCTTGTTGTGTTTGCCCTTGATCTAATGTCCACATATGAGGGAGAACATACGATTTTTGGTCTTTTGGGCCAGGCTAACCTCACTCAGAATGATGTTCTCCAATTCCATCCATTTACCAGCGAATGATAACATTTCGTTCTTCTTCATGGCTGCATAAAATTCCATTGTGTATAGATACCACATTTTCTTAATCCATTCGTCAGTGTGGGGCATCTTGGCTGTTTCCATAACTTGGCTATTGTGAATAGTGCCGCAATAAACATGGGTGTGCAGGTGCCTCTGGAGTAACCTGTGTCACAGTCTTTTGGGTATATCCCCAAGAGTGGTATTGCTGGATCAAATGGTAGATCGATGTCAGCTTTTTAAGTAGCCTCCAAATTTTTTTCCAGAGTGGTTGTACTAGTTACATTCCCACCAACAGTGTAAGAGGGTTCCTTTTTCCCCGCATCCTCGCCAACACCTGTTGTTGGTGGTGTTGCTGATGATGGCTATTCTAACAGGGGTGAGGTGGAATCTTAGTGTGGTTTTAATTTGCATTTCCTTTATTGCTAGAGATGGTGAGCATTTTTTCATGTGTTTTTGGCCATTTGAATTTCTTCTTTTGAGAAAGTTCTGTTTAGTTCACGTGCCCATTTCTTTATTGGTTCATTAGTTTTGGGAGAATTTAGTTTTTTAAGTTCCCTATATATTCTGGTTATCAGTCCTTTGTCTGATGTATAGTTGGCAAATATTTTCTCCCACTCTGTGGGTGTTCTCTTCAGTTTAGAGACCATTTCTTTTGAACAGAAGCTTTTTAGTTTTATGAGGTCCCATTTATCTATGCTATCTCTTAGTTGCTGTGCTGCTGGGGTTTCATTGAGAAAGTTCTTACCTATACCTACTAACTCCAGAGTATTTCCTACTCTTTCCTTGTATCAACTTAAGAGTTTGGGGTCTGATATTAAGATCCTTGATCCATTTTGAGTTAATCTTGGTATAGGGTGATATACATGGATCTAGTTTCAGTTTTTTGCAGACTGCTAACCAGTTTTCCCAGCAGTTTTTGTTGAAGAGGCTGCTATTTCTCCATCGTATATTTTTAGCTCCTTTGTCAAAGAAGTTGGTTATAGTTGTGTGGCTTCATATCTGGGTCCTCTATTCTGTTCCACTGGTCTTCGTGTCTGTTTTTGTGCCAGTACCATACTGTTTTTATTGTTATTGCTTTGTAATATAGTTTGAAGTCAGGTATTGTGATACCTCCTGCATTGTTCTTTTGACTGAGTATTGCCTTGGCTATTCGTGGCCTCTTGTGTTTCCATATAAATTTAACAGTAGATTTTTCAATCTCTTTAATGAATGTCATTGGAATTTTGATGGGAATTGCATTAAACATGTAGATTACTTTTGGGAGTATAGACATTTTTTCTATGTTGATTCTACCAATCCATGAGCATGGGAGATCTCTCCACTTTTCTATAGTCTTCTCAATCTCTTTCTTCAGAGTGTATAGTTTTCCTTGTAGAGGTCTTTCACATCTTTTTGTTAGGTTACACCTAGGTATTTGATTTTTTTTGAGGCTATTGTAAATGGAATTGTTTCATTTATTTTTTTCAGTTTGCTCATTGTAGTGTATAGAAATGCTAATGATTTTTCTATGTTGATTTTATATCCTGCTACCTTGCTATAGCTATTGATGATGTCTAGAAGCTTCCGAGTAGAGTTTTTTGGGTCTTTAGGTATAGGATCATGTCGTCTGCAAATAGGGATATTTGACAGTTTCTTTACCTATTGTGTATTCCTTTTATTCCTTCTTCTTGCCTAATTGCTCTGGCTAGGAATTCCAGTACTATGTTGAATAATAGGAGTGGAGATAGTGGGCATCCTTGTCTGGTTCCTGATTTTAGAGGGAATGGTTTAAGTTTTTCTCCATTAAGTATAATGCTGGCTGTAGGTTTGTCATATATAGCTTTTATAATGTTGAGGAACTTTCCTTCTATTCCTAGTTTTCTTAGAGCTTTTATCATGAAAATGTTGGATCTTATCAAAGGCTTTTTCTGCATCTATTGAGATGATCAAGTGGTTTTTGTCTTTGCTTCTGTTAATGTGGTTTATTACGTTTATTGATTTTCGTATGTTGAACCACCCCTGCATCCCTGGGATGAAGCCTACTTGGTCGTGGTGAATAATCTTTTGATGTGTTGCTGAATTCGGTTTGCCATTATTTTGTTGAGGATTTTTGCATCAATGTTCATTAAGGAGATTGGCCTATAGTTCTCCTTTTTGGAGGTGTTTGCCTGGTTTTGGATAAGTGTAATACTGGCTTCATAAAATGTGTTTGGCAGTTTTCCTTCCCTTTCTATTTCATGGAACAGTTTAAGGAGGGTTGGTATCAGTTCTTCTTTAAAGGTCTGATAGAATTCAGCAGAGAATCCATCAGGTCCTGGACTTTTCTTTTTGGGGAGACCTTGATTGCTGCTTCATTTTTTTTTTGTGATATCTATTCAGGTGATTAATTTCCTCTTGGTTCAGTTTTGGATGATCATATGTATCTAGAAATCTGTCCATTTCTTTAGATTTTCAAATTTATTTGAATATAGGTTCTCAAAGTAGTCTCTGATGATTTCCTGGACTTCCATGTGTTTGTTGTTATCTCCCCTTTTGCATTCCTGATTCTACTAATTTGGGTTTTTTCTCTCCTCATTTTAGTCAGGTTTGCCAGGGTCTATCGATCTTGTTTATTTTTTCAAAGAACCAACTTTTTGTTTCATTAATTCTTTGTATGGTTTTTTGGTTTCTATTTCTTGATTTCAGCTCTTATTTTTATTATTTCTCTCCTCTATTTGTTTTGGGATTTGCTTGTTCTTGTTTTTCTAGGAGTTTGAGATGTATCATTAGGTCATTGATTTGGATCTTTCAAGTCTTTTTAATATAGCACTCATGGCTATAAACTTTCCTCTCAGACTGCCTTAGCTGTGTCCCATAGGTTCCGGTAGGTTGTGTTTTCATTTTCATTGACTTCCAGGAACTTTTTAATTTCCTCTTTATTGCATCGATGATCCATTCTTCATTAAGTAATGAGTTATTTAGTTTCCAGCTGTTTGCATGTTTTTTGTCTTACTTTTGTTGTTGAGTTCTACTTTTACTGCATTGTGTCAGATAGTATGCACGGTATTTCTATTTTCTTATATTTGCTGAGGCTTG